AGCCATATAAACTACTTACATGCTTACAACCCATTACTCTTGTATATGTGGTAAAAGGGATGATTAACAAATTATCTTTTAAATAAAAACTTTGTGACTAGAATATGTAACATCAGAGCGATGGCTACCGACGGGGAAACTACAGGTATTATGGTGGTGATCTTGGGACTTTTGCTGTTTGAGACAGAATAATATGAAAAATCCCAATGCAACATGACCTAAAATCTCCACCTTTTTGTATACCCATTGTCCCTCCTATTTTTTCCTAAATCACAATATTCTTCTCAAAGGTAATCTCTTCAAAGGGTTAATTTAGAACAGGACTAACCTTATTACAGGTTCAACTCGAGTACAGCTCTCAACCAGCTATGATGCAAAGTAATATTAGAATAACATGGCCTTGAAAATTCCACATGCCACTTTCTGGCTGCAGTCCCTGGGGTAAGGTTATTTAACATCTTTCAACTCCAGCTTCTTCATCTTTGTAAAATGGTGAATTTATCTGTAAAATGCTGAATTCTATATTCCTAACATAAAATCTAGGAGCGTTTTTATAGAACATTCCCAGAAACTTTTGTTTATCCTGTATTCAGAAACAGAAAGCAAATTAGTTTAAAAATACAAACTGCTTTTAAAAACCAATTAATGTAACAATGCAATTAAGTTAGAAATTACTAACAAAAAGATAAACAAAATCCTCAGCCATCCCCATGGGGGGAAAAATTGTATCAAGAGCATCAGAGAAGAAACCAGCAGGAAATTAATAAAAGTAGCAAATATTAAATCATGTTTAATATAGCTAAAGCAATGTTTAGAAGGAAATTAATAGCTTTAAGTGATTCCAATAGAAAAGAATAGACTTAAAAATGAATAAGCCCAGTTTGCAACCTAGGAAATTTGGTAACAGAATAAACCCAAAGAAAGGAAGAGGAGAAGATAATAAAGAGCAAAATGTAATGAAACTGAAAAGTATGATACAAGAGGCTATCAAGAAAACCAGAAACTAGTACAATAAAAGGGGAGTGAAACAGAAAAACCTTTGGCAAGACTGATTTAATCAGGACAGAGAGAAGAGGTACAAATAAATGATATTAATGAGAAAATGGAGATACAATTATAGATCTAGCAGCAATGAGAGAGTAAGGGAACACCATGAATGATTTTCTGCCAATAAATGTGAATACTTAATAAAATGGATAAATAAGAAAAATACCTGATTGAAGAGAAAAAAGAAAGCTCAAGAAGTCTCATATTATTAAATATATCGACTTGGTACTTAAAAATCTACCCTTAACCCCTCTCCAAAATCAAAATATATTCTAAGACTTGCCCTTAAAGCTATCATTCCAATATCAGATAACTCCATGGGAAGCAGGAGGGCACAGTCTTCAGATCATTCTATGGAGCTATAAAACCTTAAAACAAACCAGGGAAGGAAAATAATAAGAAAGCAAAATCACAGACCAATATCTCTTGAACAGGAATACCTAATTCTTCATGAAATATTTAAACATTTTAATAGTGAAATATCAGAAGCATTCCCTCTAAAATTAAGAACAAACCAAGGATACTACACTATCATTCTGCTGATTTTTTACTGGAGCCAACTGTGTAAAACAAGAAAACAAAGACAAGGAACAATGATTTAAAAGGGAAGAAAGAAAACTTTCATTACTCCCAGCTGATAAGACTGTTTACAAGAAATTCTAAAGCATCTGCAGACATATTTTCAGAATGAATGAGTTCAGCCTGGTGGCTGGATATAAGATGAATATACAAAAATACATTGCATTTCTATTTGCCAACAAGAGCTAGAAAACAATTTCACAGAAAAAAAAATGAAATCAGTTAAATAAATAACGTAATAAACCCAAATAAAGTTCCAAGAGAGAAATCCAGTAAGTACAAGATTCATATGTAAAAAAAATTAAAGGACACTGAACAAAAAACACAAGTATCAAAAATATACTATCCTTATGGATAGGAAGCCTGAAAATTGTGACAGCTGTCAGTTTGCTTAAATTCAATGCAATCCCAAAGTTTCAACAAGTATTTTTTTTAAGTTGATTCTAAAATTTGAAAGGATGAGCAAAAAAATAGAATCAAAGATTATCATGCTATTCTTATGCTTTATAATAATATAAATTACATATATTAATATGCACATTATATATTAAATATAGGTTATAATATGTAATATTGCGTATGTATATAATAATATATATTAGTTATATTTACATACATAAATTTATGTGTCAAGTAATGTGATAAAAATGTAAAACAAAGCATTAAAAATTAAAGCTTATTCATGAGACAGCACATAAACGCTCTCCTAACCTATTTATTTTTCCCAGTTTACTTTATATACATTCCATCACTATATCTGTGACAGTCACTATTTACTTTATTCAAATCTCTTGCAATAATTTTAGAAATAGTGTCAAACATAATGGATGTTAAGAAGTAAGTAGCACTGTAAGGGAGAAAACAGGGACATAATAGAGAACTGTATGAATGATGCATGCTATATTTATCCCTAAATTGATAAAAACCAAAATAAATCAAATTCAACTCATCCGATTTTCATTTATAAGTAGAGAGAAAGGATAAAAGAAATACAACATAATTTGGTGCACTTCTTTATTCTGTTGGTGTATAATGAGCAAAGTCAGTTTCTCTGTCACCATATTACACTGAACAGATGAATCCTTCCTTAAAATGTCAGAAAACAGGAAAGATACCTTTTCTAAGCTACCAATAAGCAAGGTTTGTTTTTCTTATGAGCCCATCGTTAAGCTAAATGCTTCTGAAGATAAATTAGTTACTTGTCCTAATGGTTAAAAAAAGAAGAGGGGGAGAAAGAACCTCAAGTAGGTTAAGGACCACAGCATCTTCCATGGAGACAAAGCCTCATAACACTGAGCAATGTGGGGGAAAAAAGGCAGATGCAGAAAAAATTTAAACTTTCAAGGGGAAATAATCAAAAGCAAGTTGGAAAAATAGTGAAAAACTGATCTAACCTAGTTGACTCATCTTAATCAATAAAGAAGATAAATAACTCTAAATTTTTAAGTATATCCTTCAAAAGAAGAAATGAATCTCCTTTAATAAAACAGACAGCTCAGCAAGCAAAGATCTGAGAAATCTCAAGATCTTTATTACCCAAAGATTTTTATCTCACGTTGTTAAAGACAAACTGATATTATTCCTTAATTATACTTGGGAGGAAAACTATTTTATTTTTAATTCGCCCAGAATGCGTATGTAAAAATGAAAGCCAAGCAGTAATTCTAGGCAGTGAATTGCACAGAACAATGCTCACTTGGTATTCATACTAGGTCTTAAATAAGTGTAGCCTGCCAAATGTAGCCCACTGGATTATTCTCAGCCTCATTATCCAATTTCTTTTTTGAGAACCTTTGTTCCATTTCCTCCTTCCTATCAGGCATTTAGTTCATTGTTTTTAAAGCTCTTTGCCACAGGAGTAGGAAAGAGGGAAAAGGAAGACATATTTATTTTCCTAACTGAAGCAGCTCTAACTCATTACTAGGTGTGGAAAAGGCTGACTATGACAAAGAAGTTTAAATCATAAGGTTCTTATAGCCCGAGTGTCTCAAATACTTTATGATTCTGGCAACAAGGGGAAGCGATCTTGAGTCAACCTTTCTAAGGGACAGCGTGGCTGTGGTGACCTCTGCTCTTCTTAGACTTGTTTCTCTGCAAGAGTGTCATGAAAGGGTCATATCTGATAAGGGCCTTCCAGAGAGTCCAGGGCCAGGGGGAGTGAGGGGAGAGGAAAAAGAAGGAAGACACTCTAAGGTGGCCGCACATCACAGCATCACTAGTCAGACTAGCTGGAAACCACCCTGGAGGCTTCACAGGCTGCACCAAGGGATGGAGAACATGGACAGCGAGAAACTGTTTCCACTAAAGACTTCTAAATGGGAACCTGACTAGATTTAAAAAAAAAAAAAAAAAAAGACTTTCAATTGGAATCCTCTGTGGCTAAATTACTCTGCCAAAATATCCCATTGTTTAATTCAAAGATATAATGAGGACAAAGAAATAATAAATCATGAAATCTAAGCACCATAAAGAGAATCTTACATCTTTTTAATCAATTTCACCCACTAACAGAGAGTGCTGGAACTCTGTCCCCCTTCCTGTCTTCCTCCCTCCCAAAGTTCTACATATATTTTTTTCATATTATCTGGGAAAATAATTAGTATACTTTCCATGAAGAAAAATAATTTTTGCTTTTAAACTTTTTATTTTTTATACAAAATTTGCCCACTATAACTAATAAAAGAACACAAATCCAGATAAATAAAAGAATCTTCCTCTGCCCTTCCTCTCACCATTGTTAACATTTGTGTATAAGTCCATTCAAACTCTGTCCAATCCTATATAAACATGTGTGCCTGCACGTTTTTGATAGAAAAAAATGGTGTATTTTACATTCTACATTGCAATTTCATTTTCCTCATTTAGCAACAAATCATCATAGTCAATTGAAATAATTAACATTTTTAAAAAGCTGCTTAACATCCTGAGATGTGAATGTACTACAACTTATTCAACTGTCCCTGCACTGACTAGCATTTGGGTTATTTTAGTTGTCCTAGGTTTTTGTCATTTCAAGAAAAGTACTGCACTGCATGAACACACCTGTGCACACACATGTGTGAATACAGCCATCAGCATCCATTGCACTGGTTCCTTTATTGCTACCGGAAAGTCTCATGAACAGGACTTTCGGAAGAGCTGTAACAGTCTTTCACACTCCCACCAGCAACATATTAGCATTTCTAGAGCATGCTGTGTAGTTAAAACACTGCAAAAAGCCAAGTCCATATACTTGTAGGGATCCATCAGTTTAAGGTGATTTTTAATTCTGTGATATGCTTACACTGATTGATTTAGCAGGGCTGCAATTACAGGGTGTCTATATAGGAATCTCTGCAAGAATAAAATCTATACTGGGGTTGATTTTAATTTACCTTTTTTTGCCACTTCTGCCCCATTAAGTTCTTTTTGTGCTTCTTCAATTTTGTCTAAGAAAAACAAAAAAAATTATAAATCAATACTTTATATACAAATAAGAATACAGTAAAATAAACACCCTACTTATAAACAGTACCTAACACACAGTAATAAATATTTGTTGAATGAATTATTTATGGAACAAATATGTGTAAACTATTAAAGTAATGATATAATCCTTTTAAAAATTATATTTGTAATTTTAATTATTTCTTAGTCACAAGGCCTACAATTGTTTCCATAATGCAAATAACTAGTGCATTTAAAATACCGAACCATAGTTTAAAAATGTTTAGCTGCTTAATAAAAGTACCTGAAAATAATACTTTGTTTATGAAGACATAGGGATTTTATTAGAGAGATACAACAAATGCCTACTGGCTTAGGAACAAGTCTAATAAGCAAAGGTCATAGATGGCCTAAGACCTAAGACAAGCATGGAAGAAATAAAAAAAAGATGGAAAAATAAAGGAAAAGATGGGCTGAGGAGCAGGAGCCCGACACCCACCACTTGCACCAGCCCCGGATCCCAGAACGCCACGTGGAAGAGACCCTGTACAAACTGGCGGCTGCAGAGCGGCCACCTGTGCATACGGCTTTGAGAGAGCGACCCCCAAAGCTGGGAAGGCTGCCCATGGGGTGGATGGGAGACGGAGGCACCTGGGCCCAGAGCCTACAGTCCTCCCAGCTGAGCTCTGAGCACAACTGGATTTTGTAAATAAGCACATATTCTACTTTGGCAACAATTTAAATTTTATAAGGACATACATATTTCATGACTATGACAGCAACCAATTCCAAGTTTAATGCAGTGGTCTAAGTGCTTATTATAATGGTAAAAGTTACAAAATTCCTAGGACACTATTTTATACTGAAACGAATAGAGTAACCATAATTATATTAACATTTTAGATAGTCCATTGGAGTATAGCTTAAATGCTTTTGAAACATTGGTACTTCCAGCATACACCATTTATGCCTTCCAGCATACACCAGCAGCCCCCAGAATGGTCTCCAATGCTAAATACCGCTACTGGCCACGGAAGATGCAACCTCCAAAACAGCACCCTCCCCAAATAAATAAAAGGCACAGATCCCACCGTAGGCCCTTCAAACCCTGGTCTATCTGCCTCTTTCCCCGTCAGCCTTGCCAGAAAAGCCAGAAATCCAAAGAAACTTTGATTTACAGATCAAACTTCTTTCAACTGCATATTGAGCATATTGAGCCATCCAGCCTGCCCAGTCAAAACGAAGGGGGGGCATCTGAATAAAGTGGGAAAACCAGCTGAAAATATTAGATATTATGCACCAGCAACAGCAAACAGATCTAGATTTTCTTCCTGCCAAATGCATTCCCCTCAGCAGTTTCCTACTTGCTTCCTGCTAGTGATCAGATCCGGAATAAGATCTGAGAGGAAAAGAGACACCCTTTGGAAATAACACAATTTTTTCTCAAAAACTTAAGTTATTTCTTATGAAATGCCAAGTGAAACTGGAAACAGGACTGATAAAAACAATAACCCTTCTTAAATGCAGAAAGCGAACACTGCATTTAGCAGGACTTTTACCTCAAAGGGAAAATTTCAAATGTATGGATGAAATTTATATTAACATAAGTAACAAAACACAAGGCCCACTGTCTCAAAAAATAAAATACACGAAAGTACATTGTAGACATTCAAAATGTAAACAAGTATTAAATACATAGTCTTAGAAACATAAAAATGAAAAGCACTGTGATTTCTATGCCAGCAGTTTCTCCAAACTTAAGAACCACATTTAATACTACAGATATATTAGATATATATTCACAGCAGTAATGACTGTGTTTAAGGGTTTATGCACACACAATTTGGCATTATACAATAAAGTAACTTCTTATTAATAGAATCAACTGTGGCTCAAGGCAGCAAACGCTCGACTGTATTAATACGCACTTAAAGAACAGGTTCTGTCTAGTATATTGAGGTTTGGCCACCTTCTATTTGTACTTTAACAACAAATTCTCACAAAAACGACCTTGATTTACATTTGTGTTAAATCAGTAGATTTAGGACATCTGCTGTGTTAGGTACAAGCATTTACTTAAATGCTTCTACCTGCAGCTCCAGTTCAATAGGTAAATACAATCGTCAGTAAAAGCGTTGTAACAGCCATCATAAGCTTTCCCCTCAATTTTTATAAAAAGTCTTGTTTATATTTAACCTTTGTTCAATGTTTCTCCTGGCAAAATACGATGTTTTAAAGATACTCTCCACAACTACAGAGAAAGTACTCACTTAATACATGCTCTTAATTGGTTCAGACAAGGCAATTTATTAACATTTAAAGGCAAAATTTATCATTTTTTTCACTATGACTCAGAGTAAGAAACATATTTTTACATTCCAACCAATTACATGTGTGTGTATATATATTATGTGTATACATAATGCAGAAACCAAATTACCTACACTCTAATTTCTATCCTTTCCTATTAAACATGAAAAATGCTGCCTTGCCCAAATACACTGATTTCAAAACTCACTGCTGGACTGTAAATCGGCAGCCTGAAACTCACTGATAGAAGGGCAGTCCTCAACCCAGGGTATCACAACGTGTCTCACTGTAAGCCTTGACTGGCGGGGTTGGGGATGGGCGGGTACATGTGATTTAAAATGGGTAGAATGGGAATCTCAGATGCAGACACATCTTCCATCAGACCCTCCCCAACGTCACTGATAATTTCACAAAAACTACACATAAAAATAGATATACATGGAAAATGGACATTCACATCACGCTAGTAAATCTAAGGTGAGTAACATCTTACTGTAACTAGTTCTTACTGTATTTAAGATGTAAGCCTAATTAATTCAAATTTTACTAAATATACTTGGAGTTGTCACCTGGAAAAGATCCCAGCAACACATGAATGGATCCAAAATTGTCCCTAAGATCCAGAGGGGCCCATGGCCGAGACAGTGGCAGGAAAGAGAGGGTACCAACAATGTAGGTGATATTTTGGTTCTGCAACTATTAAAAATGTACCTTTTTACAGTTTGTCTTCTCTGATAAAAGTGCAGAAACTATTTGTTAATGGTTAAGGCTATTAATTATTTTGTTTAATGCCTTATATATTTTAAAATTTTGTTTATATAAGAAAACCATGCAAAAATATTTTACCTTCATCATAGGTAAATAATTATAAATAAAAAGAAAAATGTCACTTCGTAAAACATAATCTGAAACCACTGAACCAAAAAAAAAAGTCCTGGAGCCCTCAGGAAACCACCTTCCTTTTGGGGTTCTGGGAAGAAGAGTGGATAATTAAAAACAAATCACTTATAAAAATAAAGCAATCTTCAAATAAGGGCTCACAGTAAGCACCTGCTCTCTGACCATTTTACCCTCCCCATCTCAGATCCTCAACATCACACCTCAAGAGCCCTGGGATCCAAGACATCACAGTTTTGGAGACCAACACACTAAACTGTTATGATTTGGTTCAACAAAAGCTGTGTGTTTCTATTGTGCTGAATGTCAACTTTGTGTCAAGTACAAAAGGAACAACTAGAGATAGAAAAAAATTTTTAAAAGCTCTCCTGGAGGGGCTTATGGATTATTATACCCCTTAAAAGATCATTTTAATATTAATTTGACAGTAAATATAAAGCCTGAATCCCCTGTGCAGCTTGATCGTGTTACCTCCTCTCCCCACCTGCCAGACCCCACTCCGTTCTCTTCAGCTCCAGCCCCCTGCCTGCAGGCTCTGTCAGATCCCTGAGCCTCTTCCCAGCTGCCCCTTCCAGCCCATCCCTTCAAGATGTCGTCTCTTGTAGGAAACCTGCTCTAAGACCCTCCTCAGAGCCGTCACTCCCTTCTCTGTGCAGCCGACCCCTTGCATGTGGAACCCATTTCTCTCCAGCTTCGTATCTCATGATCATCAGTAATAGCGACAGTAAGACGGACTGAGTGATCCACTGACAGTATAAACAATAACCTGCCAAGTGACACAGAGAAGCACGGACGCATTCTGAAACAGAGATAAAGGAATTTCTGCACACAAACCAAAAACTGGCATTAGGTGGTTTCACTTAAGAACCTGGCGCTTTATCTTCCCTAACATCATAAATAATTTCTACATTCGGGAAACGGCTTCAGTACACCGATGGCACTAGAATCAAGTATTTATGACTCCATTAGACCCACCAAAGACCTAAATGATCTCCGCCTTAATTCCGTTAGCCCCCCCTTCTCTCTTGCTGCTCTGACAGCACCAATAGCCTCTTCTCCGACACCTACAGGCTCTCACCCCTCACTGAGCCCTAAAAACACACAGCGAAAACACTAATAGTAAAATTTTATTTAGAAGATCCTAAGGAACTGTAAAAGGCACCTCTATTTACTGAAAGAGATACCATCTGATTGAAAAAAGATCACCATATGTGGCTGCACTATTTTTACTACTGAATAAGCCTAACTCCCACATCCCCTCATTACACGTCAGGACAAGCTCCTTATTCTCACTGTTAACTGCTAGAGCAATTTCAGTAAGACTAAGTATATGACAATGATGTAATGTTAACAATGCATTCAGTACCGGTAACCATGTACACACGCCCTTCTAAATGAAGACTAGCCCAGTGTTCACTATGCAGTCAGCTACGTAAAGCTACCTTTGTAAGTAACATGTTTTAACCTGTATGTTACACATCGTTTGTACCTCTAGACCTATGTCTTTCATGAAGTCAAGCTCTATGATAATGCCTAAAATGACAGTCTAGACTAATATAATATTTCAAATTGAAAAATATTGCTTGAATAAGTAAAAAAAGAGACTCAACTCTTCACCAATGAATTTAAAAACTGTGATTGGTAAAAATTCTTTTAAAAACCCCATAAAGTTACTCAACTTGATCCAGAAAGAGAAAAACTCAACTAGAATAACCATGGGTGATTGATAAAGTTACCAGATAATAATGCAGAATTACCTTTATTGTAAAGGTTAAAGGCCAAGATGGTTTTATTA